TCAACAAGTGTTCAACCGATTCAGAAGATCAAATCCTTGCCAACTTGGAATTTTGATTTGAATTAATCATGCGACGAGGAAGAAGAGTATTATCATCCCGAAATACGAAAGACAATTTTGCACATGCTCAAGATATATGTGCCTAAGTATTTTGAGGATCCGTAAATTGTCTTTGTTTTTCGACCAAAAAAAAAAAAGTTTTTGTGTTATTTATCTTTCTCTTTGTACTTCTTTTATTATGAATAAGAGGGAATGTGACATTATGAAATCGAAGCCACGTTCTAAATGGAAGAAAATCAACCATATATTATGATAATAGAAAATTTAAGTAGCTAAGTAATTTATTACATCTCGTAACAAAGTAGGATCACAAGCCATTTGTGAAGGTAGATTATCTTCTTTCTCCAAGATAGATTTCTTAAAATGTGGGATTTTATACCTGTTAGAGCCTCGAACTTTCAAAATTTCTTGCATGCAAGATTGTAAAGTCACAAAAATCCGATTCATTTGTTTTGAAGAATAATCATCAAATGCATTTTCCACGGCCAAAACAAGTTCTTCTATCGTCTTCGGACACACCTTGTGTTGTAGTGTTTGAATGGCACTAAAAAATCCAAGATCCAAAATAGTTAGATCCGGCGAATTCGATGGTTGACACATCAAACGAATATCGAAACTATGATGAGAAGCGGCTGCTCGAAATTCTTCATCTCTTGGATCAACATGAGTCTTTGCATTATCTTGTTGAATAAAAATAGTTTTTCCGAAATCCTCTTGCGGCCATCTTTCACGGATCTTCGGAATCACTTTTCAATTAAAAAGTGTTTTATGTCTTCTCTCTTTATGGAGGTCATCGGCTTTAACTCCATAGTCCCCGCATCTCGATTTTTACTTCGTCTCTGAGCTGGTTGCATTTTAACAAATGGAAACACTCCAATTTTCCCCGAAAATATCTCATTTCCTTCTCTATCAAATCTTGGACGAGCCATGGCCGCTAAAAACATTACCTTTCCGATGTAGTTTTTACTCTGACATGTACGATGCGGCGCTTCTTCTCCCGGATGCAAGTAATAATTCTCTGTCTTTTTTGTCATATAAAACCATTTTTCATCAATATGTACCGTATTGTACATATCAACAAACTTTGGGTTATCCGGTAAAGTACTAGTGTCGAGCATGGACATACAAAATTCTAGCCGAGCTCTCATATTACCTTCATTCAAAGATGGTTTGATGGCGTTTGAATAACGTTTAATGAGCCCTTCTTGTAAACGTCGAAATAACACAGTGACACTCACATCCAAAGAAGCCGCCAATGATCTTAATGTTTTTCGACGGTGAAATGGGATACCAACAATTCCATCAAGGTCAACTTCAGTTTTCTTCCCACCACATTTACCCTTTCTCTGATGCGATACGTCAACAACTTCGCCATGAGGAGTATTCTTGGCCCGTTTCCAAATTCGTTGTACCGTTAGTAAAGGTACAGAGAATAAATTAGAAACTTCCGTTGTAGTGGTTTTCTTTAATTTTCCATTAACGCTTCTTTCCAACAGAGCAAGGTAAATCTCTAATCTTTCTTCATTTGTCATTTCTTTCTTATGCACCGTAGCTTCTTCACCATGTGATATATCAGTGCATCCTCCTATCACGAATGTTTATAACAAAGACATTATCAGTAAATGATACTCCATTTATAATTACTAAACGTAGTGTGTTAAAGAAGCAAAAAAAAAATGTAGGAATAATCTTATTCTATGACATGTTTGTAAGCCATGCACTATCATATTTAAAAAAAAAAAACGTAGTGTGTTAAAAAATCAGAATAAAACGTAACAGTAATCATATTCTATGACATGTTTGTAAGCCATGCACTATAATGTTTGTATACGAATTTTATATCATATCATTAGAATTAGTAACTAAATAAACAAAAGAACCTGAATTCGCATGGGAATAATCTTCCGGATCTTCATTCTCTGGTTCTTCATGAAATGGAATGGCTAAACCATTGTCCGACCAAATAAATTCTCTTGTTGGACTTTTATTCAAATCAAACAAAAATCCTCTTTCACTATTTTGAAGTGGTGAATTTAGATTGAAACTATGAAAAGCCATGGATAATATCTAAGTGAGACTAAATCAATGTTGTTGTGGTATATAAAACGTTTCATTTTGGCTCCAAATTTTTGTTTTCTTTTTGATTATTTCATTTTGGCGCACATGTTGAATTTTTGTCAAAAATTCTTTATGTTGACAATTTTATGGAATACCGTGTTTTGTGTGGGAAAGTAAATTTCATGGAGTACTAAATAAAAATAGTGGAATGACGAGAGAAACATTAATTGAAGTTGGTAGAAT